AAAAAGAGAGGCACCATCTGAATCATGGCTCCATTTATTCTAGAACTAGTAGAAGAACTCCGGGATGAGCTTTAGAAATCCGACAGCAGCAGGGAGAAAACCCAGAGGTGAGGCTGTTGCAGAATCTAAAGCAAGACACTATCCAGGGTAATGCCGGCATGTGTTCCTCCTGCCAGCATTGGTTAACTAAAATATAGAATCTCATTTGGTAAAACTTTTTAAATAACTGATTGGTTCTTTGCAAAGGTTTCCAACTTAGGTAGGTAGCATGTGCATGTAAAGATGTGCACTGTATAAACTATGACCATTAGAAAAAAGCCCCTTAATGTTAAACTCACCCAAGTGGTCAGCTGATTCAGTCGTGCAGACACTGCTGCATGGTTAATGGGAAAAATGCTTTCTATTGAGACAGTCCTCCTTGGCAGTGCTGCCTGAATTGCAGCTGGGTTTTGTGTGCAAGATGCCACACTGTGGGTTGAAGGACAGAAAGCATGGGAGAACCAGGCAGTCTATGTTTTCTTTACACAATGAAAAGACAACTGAATTCAACCAACCCATTAAATGGGTTATTTTGGTAGTATGTTTTTTAATTGGGTGTTTAATCTCCCATTTCTTCTCTGTCGCAACCTGGTTTCTGCCTGTTTATTATCCTGGCGTCATTTGGTTTCTACTTGGATGACCAGACATAATTTAGGCAGCATAACTATTATTTTGAAATTGTTAACCCAGCATTATACTGTAATGAAATTCCTCTGCTCTTAAAATTTTATATGGTGTAAGAAGTTAATGAGTGTGATGGTTAGAATTATGTAAAAGGCACAGGCAACAAAGAAACATTTTTTTTCTGAAAAAAAATTGACATTAGTTAACTGAAACCCACCATCTGGCAGGTGCCATTTATGAGTAAAGCTCAGCCTTAATGGACAGTAACCTTTCCTGTTTAAACCACAAAGGCATGGGAAAGGCAAAGCACACTGGGTCCTGTGCAGAGGAGCTTGTGAATATGGAGACAAGCAAGGAAAGAGGGGCAGGCCCAGGAAGAAAGGTTGCATTTAAACACATGGGTCTGATCCTTGGCCATGTGGTGTTTGCAATGAACTGAGTAGAGAATCATTGAATAGCTTCTATACGAGCCTTTACTTTGCAACTTAAAAATATATTTTTAATTAGAACATAATCACTTTATTTCCCCAATTCCCTTCTATCCCTCCAACCCCTCCCATGTCCTTCTCTTCTTAAATTCATAGCTTGTTATTATTTTATATTGCTGTCACACACACATACATAGATACTTAAATATAAAAATACATTCTTCTCATTACATTTAGTATTTTATAATTTTTAAATCACCAGACTTCATTCATGAGATAACTTCTCCATTTGCAAGAGGATATTATCATCTACTCTCTCTTGTCAGTGTTTGGGAAGGTGAGTGTGAACTCTCAACTTGACAGAATCTAGCATCACATGTAGATTGATCTCTGGGCAGTCCTGCCATGGCTTATCTTGATTGAGTAAATAGAATGAAAACATTCAGTTTAATTGTGGGCAGAACTATTCCCTGGACAGCACTTCCTAGCTGTGGATGCAATCAATGTGACCAGATGCTTCAGGCTCCTGCACCTTGACTTGCCCACCATGAGGGACTGTGGCTTAAACTGTAAACTAAAACAAACCATTCCTCCCATAAAATGTTTTTGTCTGAGTATTTTATTCCTGAACAACAGAAACAACAACAGTGAAACTAAGGCAATGTGCCTATGAGTTGATTTTGGATAATGCAAAATTTCCCTATGACATTTTTAGTATAGTATTGTGAACACAGCATTGTGTTGCTGTTTTCCAGATGCTATAAGAACACCTTTTTCTTCTGGTTTCTCTTCATCGGCCAGTCTTCAAATGAACACGTTCACTCTGAGTAGAAAAAGAAAACTGTCTTATTGTCTTTTGGTAAGCCAGATTCCTGTGTGATGCAGAAGCATTAGATAAATTACTCAGCATTTAGGAGTAAGGAACACAATGCTGTCTGGGTAAAGCCAGGTTGTGTTCCCTGAGGACAGGGGAATAAGCAGTTGAAGTAAATCGATTGTTAATGAATTTCACTATTTATCTTTGTTTTGTTTTTGCCCAAGTCAATGAAGATAAGAAGTCAGGATGATGAGCAGTGGGTCTTAGTGGATGCTATTGCAAATCTAATTAAAGGGTTCTTCTTGCCTTATAGTCTATTGGAATTCTAAAGCCCAAGGATGCTTCCATTAGTTAGGACAACCATAATTCAAAACACTTCTGGGAAAGAAGTGTTGTTTAATTGCTTGTCAATAGGCCATTATTTAATGTTTTTCACCTCAGATCAAACTTGCTCCAAGACCGATGTTTATGCTTTTATTAGCTGTACCCTGTGACAAGGCATTCCAATAAACTACAGAGTAATAAATCAAATTGAAGACATTTGAACCTCAGCATGTTCTCTTCCTGGGTATCTACAATATTCAAATAATTGCTTTTCCTAAATTCCCTCAGTGATTGAAATGGTATTGCTGGAAGGCATGGAAATAGACGATGGGCTATCGCCTCAAACACACCTCATTGCAGGCCTCCTTTTATATGTGGAAATCTAAAACCCACTTTACTCCCATGACTTCTAGCCATTGCGCATTTTCCCCATCTGTATTATGCTCTTGTGTACATCTGTCACACAAACCCTTCCATTTGTGGATTATGTATGGGTTGTCTTGGAATTCTCATTCCAAGCAAGGAAGTTCTTGCCTAGACCTATTCACCTAGTGAATGGGTGGTGTGCGGGTGGACTACACAAGAAGGTTGCGAGATTTGTCCCGCACTGTCCAAGAGTCAGGTTTTAGAGTGCACCATCTGTTTCTGACCTCAGGTACAGCCCCTCACTGCCTTCCCCTCATTGAGAAGCCACTTTCCTCTTAAATCCTTTAGGTAGGTATCAATTCATGAAGAGCTGTTTCTTCATGTATTAGGTACTTAATAATTCTATGCATGGCTTCTTCACTCAATATGCTTCCTCTCTAGTAGAAGTGATACAACAACACAGGAATAGTTTATATTCAAACACTCTGTCCTGGAAGTGCTGTCAGTGCAGTGTCGTAGCTTCTGCTCGCTCAGTGACATAGTTAAGTGGCTATTTCTCTTTCATCCTAAAACAGTATTTTGAGGAAAGATGTGATATTAAATCCAGAATCTTTAAACCTATTCCCCAATATTAACCATTTACTCATAAAACTCCATGTTAAATTATTTATTAGTATTAACACCTGCATTTTTAATTTTCTACTGCTATGATAATAACTTAAAGGAGGATGGGTTTATTTTGGCTCCTGGTTTCAGAGGTTTAAATCCATACTCATTGGCTCCATTGCTTCTGAGCCAATGCATGGTGAGGCAGGGAGTCTTCTTTAATTACTTTCCATTATATTTATTGACACAGGGTCTCTGGTGTGGAATAATCTTTTGCTCACTGTGAAGTTGTATCCTTGCCAGGATGCCTTCTGATTGGTTTAATAAAGAGCTCAATGGCCAATAGCTAGGTAGGAAGAGGTTAGGTGGGACTTCTGAGAGAGAGAGGATGAATCTAGGCTCGCAAGAGATGCCATAGAGACATGGAGGAAGTAGGATGTTCAGAATGAAAGAGAGGTAAAAAGCCACGTTACAGGATGCAGATTAATAAAAGCAGGTTAATTTAAGTTATAAGCATTAGTTGAGAACAAGCCTAAGATAAAGGCCAAGCTTTAATAATTAATGATAAGTGTCTGTGTCATCATGGGGAGGCAAGTGGTCCCAAAAGAAAGTCTGATAAGAAAAGTCCAAATACAGGCCTTTTAACTGAACTCAGAGCTCACGAATACATCAGGTCTAATTTGTTTATTTGCTCACTCCCAGGATCCCATTGCCACCTTCTCAGCACTGGAATTAGGAGTAACCTGCCATCCCTGCCTGGGTGTTAATTGGATGCTGCTGATCTGAACACCAATCTTCATGCTTGCACAGGAAGTATATCTGTTGAAACATCTCCCAGCCACGGTTTTGTCTTCTTGCTTTTATTACTTAAATGAGACAAATGTTGGTACCAGGGACCTCAGATAATTTTAAAAGTCAGTGGTCAAGTCCCAGAGGGTTGACCATCATGCTGCATTTGATTATACTGATCAGCAACAGATAGTTGATCAGGAACTTTTAGTTCCCACACTCCCTAAGAATACCATCTTCCTTGAAGATAATGTGACAAGATCCAAATTAAAATTCAACCATCACTGCAGTCCTCAGGCAAAGGACTATTCTGAAGTGGCAGTATGATGAAGCATCAGGCAGATGAACAGACACCTTCAGTTAGTTCTAGGTTGTGCTACAAGCTCGTACATGACAAAAACATTATAATTGACTTCACTGTCCACTATGCTGTAAACTTCATTTGTCATTAGTTGCAAGACATACAAGTCCCCACACCTTCAGTAATTTAATGAGGCTACTTCCCCCCTTTCATACCTTCCTAAAGTGCTACCCATATTCTAAGGTTTAAAATACATACAGTTGTTTGCTACGTTGTAGCCAGAGGTATCAAGCTTCTTAGTTTTCCCTCTTTGTACCTGTACAGACCTTCTGTAGATGTAACCGTCTTATTAAATAAGAAACACAGAGCCAATGCAGAGAAGAAAGCCCAAGAGGTCAGAGCAATAGCTAAGAGCTAAAAACCTTACCCTTCACTGCTGCTGCTGTCCTCAGAAAGTGCGCTACTTCCTGTGTGTCTGTCTTTATATAGACTTTCTGTTCTGCCTTCTCATTGGTTGTAAACCCAACCACATGACCTCCTTGTCACTGCCCATCTATACAGACCTCCAGGTCTTCTATGGTTGGTATTGAGATTAAAGGCGTGTGTCTCCATGCTGGCTGTATCCTTGAACACACAGAGATCTGCCTAGCTCTGCCTCCCAAGTGATGGGATTAAAGGTATGCACCGCCATCACCCAGCTTCTTCTATGGCTTGCTATTAGCTCTGACCCCCAGACAACTTTATTTATTAACATACAAATAAAATCACATTTCAGCACAAATAAAATATCACCATAGACCTTCTACATAAAGCTACAGGAATTCAACATGGAAGATCTCCTAGGGCAATGAAGGATGCTTAATTTGAGTCTTTTCTTTCTCATTTACATGCTATCCATAAATCAGAAAGATCAAGAAATAAGCAGAACTTGTAAAGTGCTCAATCTTGTAACATTCTCTAACTTACACTAACATTTTAATTTACCTCAAGGTCTAAGTATGAAAGAAAAGGAAAATAATAAAAGAGAATAATAATAAAGAAAATAATAAAAAAGAAAATAATAAAAGAGAATGTAAACATTTTGGGAAGAAAAACAGAGACCCTTGGGACAACACTCACAAAGAAATTATTACAAAGGATGATCAGTCCCAGGGATAGATGGCAGATCCAAAGCTCTATTTATCATTTTAAGGTGATAAAATAATGCTCAAGGGAACTTTCTTAAAATATAATAGGTTCCTGTGATTAAAATAGTGGATTTCTGATAAGGATTTGTAATAGAATAGCGGCAGTAACTAAATCATGATTAACTGCTACTGAAAATAGTTATAAAAAATTAGACTTCGTCACTTAACCAATTTTTAAAATTCACCTATTAATTTCTTTAGTAAATATATGTTTTTATTTTATTTAGCATGTGCTTATTATGACAGGACCCTGCCAGCTATCATGTGGACAGCTTAGAGCACACACAACAGGACTCCCTACTGGGATTTTATCTGCACAGTGAGGATCAACCCATATTAAGTCTGACATTGAATAAGTCATTTTCATGGGATGTTTCCTCACACTTCTGTGTGTGACTCAATTGTCACTTTTGCAGCTGTACATTCTTCAGCAGCTGTGGTAAAGGCCTACACATCAGGAGCAATTCTGAGAATCTTATCTCATTCCAGTTCTCCTTGGGTATCATCCTCTTCCATGTTTGAATCCATCCTTCCAGTAGGTCCCACATGTTAATGTGAGATGAGCATTTTCTGTGAAAGACAGAAAAGGACTGACTGAAAGCAGTTCTGGCTGGGGTATACAATCAGAAGTGGAGCCTCACAGAGGAAGAAATGCTACTGGGGGCTGCCCTTGAATGGGACATTGAGAGCTCAGTTCTCTCTTTACTGTTTATGAGCCTTTACAGGCAAGGTGGAAAGCTAGCTTTGGTCATGTGATTCTACCAGGACGTTCTGCCTCACCTTAGATCTAAAAGCAACCAGGACAAATGACCCTGGGCTCAAAGTCAAAATTAACTTCTTCTCCTGATAAATTGATAATCTCAAGTATTTTGATAAAGTGACGGGAAGCTGACTAGCACGAAATCTAAATTAAAATGTAATTGGTTTAGGGTAAAAATAAACTATCCTTGGCATTTCATGCATTTTGGAGTCTGTCTTATACAATGGTTCATTTTCCAAAATTTTAGGGCATAAAAGATGTCAGACCTTAGATAAGTTTGCTAGTGCACACTGCAGACTCACACTGGATGAGAAGGCAGGAAGACCTGAAGAACCAACTGTTTGCACATGAAGGCAGGAAGATCACACATCCTTAAGGCAAGTTTGTGCTGCAAGTAAGTCCTGTCCCAAACAACACAAAAGAACATATGAAAAGGGTGAAAGGAGAAATTGGGGGGTAAAGGGAAGGAGGGAGAGAGGGAGGGAGGGAAGGAGAAGAGGGGAGAGGATAAATCAGAACCATCGAAAATCAACTCCAGTAACTAACAGAGCCTGGGCCTGGTGCCTCATGCCCATAATCTCAGCACTTAAGAAGCTGCAGCAGGAGGATCACATCAAAATAAAGAACACAGAGAGCTTCCTATTAAACTCAGGGTCAGTGTAAGCAAGAGTGAGCTTCAATATCAGAAACAAAATAAAGTGAAATAAACCTAGAACAACAAACTAGTAGGAATATCGTCTTCTTCCATCATGAAAAAGGTACATGAATTTTAAACTATAATCATATATAAAATGTATTGAAAGCAAAATTTACATTCATTAAAATTATTAAAGTGTGTACATATATATGATTATTTATATATATATAAATATGTACAAATTAGGAAAATAAATTATCATAACATTCAGAAAAAGTATATCTTTAAGAAACTAATCTCATGTTTATGTAATATTTTAACTACCTGCATTCTAAATTATAAGACAAAAACAAGATTCTGTTTCCATCACAATTTTTAGTTTGAAGTCTACAGCAAAAATAACGACCAGCCCCAGCAAGTTACAATACATTGATTTTGGTTTCCCAAGTTGAAAATAGCAAAATAAATCTTGATCAAAACAGAAATGCTCCTCAGTTTTCAAACCCTATTATCACAAAGAAATAGGTCAAAAGAGAGGTAAAATTTCAGCAGGCCAAGAAAAATGAGAGCACATGACTTTTAGAGGGATGGGGCAGAGAGGCTTGTGTTTGGGAAATGACCGTCCATGTGAATGGATGAGTCCATGTGAAAGGATGAGTCCATGTGAATGGATGAGACCATGTGAATGGATGAGTCCATGTGAATGGATGCGTTGGTGTTTTGTTTGTTTGTTTTGTTTTTTTGTTTTAAATATGAATTGATGAGAATGTGGCTAAATACCAAAGAGAAAGTCTGGCTATAGGCCAGCATCTGATGATAGGCTCTTGAGACTGGGAAGAAGTGCCTTGCTCAGTGGACAAATGGTGCTGAGGGAGCGGAGTGAGCCATGCCCCCTCAGGGAGCAGTGACCTGAGCAGAGCTGGCACTCCTGTCCTGACAGGAGCAGCAAGTAGAAGTGGAACTCACTTGATGGGCATGAAGTTTGTTGATTCTTGTGTGATCTTAAGTGCTCTTCAAAAGTTTCCAAGGAATATTTTTGGATATATTACTGAGATAATGCAATTTAATCATTACTGCTATGGTACTGTTTATTTCACAATCAAATAATTTTGTGATGCAATTTTTGAAAATATGGGCTTTGCTAGTAATACTTTAGTTAATGGAAAAGAGATTTAATGTAAAACTCTGTGTGCAATGCAGAAACATGGTTTTTGAACAGGTAAATATATCAGAAACAATGTAGGAAACAGGTAAAAACATTGGGCAGTGGCTTTGCAGTAAGCTAGAGAGAAAAAACAGATTAATAAAGATGAACCAAGACGCTTGCCCATGGAATCCAGCAATAAAATGAATAACCCCAACCATAAAGATGTAAGGACAGATGCCATGAAGCAAGATGTCAACTAGTTACTGGAAATACGTATAGTAAAGGCATGTTCCTCCTGTTTTGAAACTAAAATGCCTGAAACAAATTTAAATGTCATGTTCAAATCATTGTTTCCACAATGAATACATGCCTAAGGAGTTGCTTATAAGAAATAATTAAAATAAGCCTCTTAATAATTAAGACTTTTCCACAAATGCCCCCAACACTATGAATAGATGATTATGTGCAATGCCCGTTTTAAAGCATTCCATGCTTGAATAAATGTACTGCTTGCTGTGTTACCATGGAATTTGACTCTTAGTAACGGAGCATAAAGCAGCACTACAATTAAGCTTATAGCCCATCTACTTATTTAAAGTCTCTATTTTTTCTACAAATATATTTTAATAATTAAAACTTCGATTTATTTGGAAGTTGGACCTCAGCTCTTAATCTTAAGATGTTTTCTAACCAGCCAGAATTTTTTGAAAATTAAAATTAATTCTCTGGTTGCATCTATAATAAATTAAAGCTGAATTATTTTGTTATCACAAAGGTGATTATAGTAGGGTCTAATTATTCATACATGTTATAATACAAACATGACATACCTAGCTATATATAAATAGGATATTTATAGTGATATTTTCTATGATAATTGATAACGAATGAATGAGATTCTAATTGTCTTTCTCACATTTATGATGTTTAGAACACTTCCAAATGCAACCATTGATCAGAACATATCTGAAATTACCTCATGACAAATTATTTTTCCTCTGAGTATATAACTTCAGCTTTTGTCTGTAGCAGACATTTCCTATAAGGAGACAAAAGATAACAGCATTAAGATTGTCTACTTTTTTATCTCTACATGTTAATGTTTAAACCTTAGCAAAATTTGTGCTTCTTGAGGTTTATCTCATTATTTACCAAAGTAGTAATAAAGTAGATTACTGTGATTAACCTCAGATAAATTATTTAATGGAACTTTGATAATAATCTAAACAAGTGTGTGCATAGACATTTTTTGTATCAGAGCAAAAAATATTTTGAGCAATACTTCCACACCCAATGATTTCTTTTCATTGCCATGGATCTCTCTACCTTTACTGTGTTCATGTTACTATTTACACTGAGAAAACACATTGCAATGTGTCAGCCTGTTCCTCCCACCTGTGTTCATTCCTTCTGTGAATAGAGTGGCTGTAACAGCAACATTTCCTCCTGAGGTTTCTTATTAGTTATACAAGATCTGTAGGCTTATAAAGCATCACAAACACAAGGTGAGTGTCTCCAGAGAGGAAAAGGGTGGTGGACAGTTAGGCAGAAGGTGGTACACTTTTGCATGTCACACCAAAGGATAAGTCAAGGATGAATTTTAGCTAGAAATACGACTCTGCCATAACACAATGGAAATGGACCAGCCCTGGGCATCTATGTGTTATATATAACCAGGTAATCTAATGAGGATCTGCTTGAGTGAATTCATTCCTATGAATTTGCTTCCATGTGATTTGCAGAGTATTTTGGCTATCATTAAGCCTTCCCTTAAAAACAACTGATAGGAGTTTGTGGAGCTTGTTATGAATCTGCTCTCAACAAAGCTTTCCCCCATAAGAAAAAATTTTTTCTATCTTGCGTAATTATTAAATTCTTGGGGGGGGGGCTTTGAAAAATATATTGCTATGGGCTTTACCTAATACCAATTCTATCACAATCACAGGACAAAAGATGGAGCAGAAATTTGTATTTTGTAAACTTCCACAGCTGAGTACAAGTGCCCTAAGACAATGCCAGGAGCATCTTCTTCATACCTCCAGAGCTCAGTCCAGCTCTACAGAGCATGGCTAACTCAAAACACATAATGCCAGAAGTCCATATCTTATGTTCCACACAACTCATAGCTGCCTTTGAAATACTAAAGCTCATGATTGTACATTAATTAAACACATGTCAAAATCAAAAGTGGAGAACCCAGGGGAATAATTAAAACATAATCACTACATAAAAGTTGAACATATGTAATTTAGAACCAACCCAGGGGGTTACTGTGGGTCCCAGCCTGAACCTAGACCCAAGAAGAGATCCCACCCCAATCTCAGCCTGCAGTATACTCTTGTGTATCCTGGACCATCCATGCAGTCACTGAAGACCTGGACCTAGACCTGGAATCAGCAAGAAACCCCATCATCACTTTGTCCACCAACACTATCTGCCACTGCTCTGTTCCCTCAATACTTCCTTGAGCAACCCCATCCATGGGATTCAAGACAAATAGACTAAAAACATACCCAAAAACAACCATCTGCAGAACTCTGGATGCCTACATCTCAACATCTCATCACAAACACACAGTATGATGAATCAAGACAAAAATACACTCCATCTGTAGATGAATTTCTAAAATGGTCTTATTAAATAAAAAAACACGGAGCCAAATATAGGAGTGAAAGCCCTAGAAATCAGGGAAATAGGGAAAGCCAGCAGCCAACCTTACCTCACCAATTCTGCAGTTTCCAAATGTGAGCTACTTCATTTCTTACCCACATTTTTATTGCCTTGCTGTTCTGCCCTCTCATTGGCTATCTTAGCCCAGCTACCTCACTTCCTTGTCACTGTCTGTCTGTACAGACCTCCAGGCCTCCATGGTTGGCACTGGGATTAAAGGCGTGTGTCACCAAGCTTGGCTCTTTTCCCCAGTATGGCCTTGAACACAAAGAGACCCTGCCTGCTAAGGATTAAGGGTGTGTGCTACCACTGCCTGACTTCTACATTTACTAAAAATGGCTGGCCTTCCCACGCCCCATCTCCAGGCAAGCTTTATTTATTAACATACAAATAAAATATCACCACACCCATCACCAATCCCAAAGTAGTGAAACCCATGGAGAACCACTTAGATGAAATTCAAGACACACAATTTTAAAAGAGCCTTTATAAAACCTGTGCATGTGTAGCCACCAAAGTTTAAAGCATTCAAAGAAAATACAAATAAAGGCATACATGAACTTAAAGAGGTAAGAAATAAATTATTGAAATCCAGGAAATCACAAATATCTGAACAAAATAGCAGAGACATGACACGATATGAAAAATCAATAAAATAAAAAGACAGAAAAAACAAACTGAAATGAAAAGCTCAGTAAATCTAATGAAAACTCAGTGAAAAGCCTCAAGTGGAACCCAAAATGGATCACACAGAAGACAAAATATCAGAATCTGAAAGCAAGATAGAAGAGTTGGATAAATCTGTCAAAGAAAATGATAAATGGGGGGGTGATCTAAAAATAGAACATGAAGGATCTTTGGAACAAAGCAAAAATACAAAATCTATACATTATAAACATAGAAAGAGAATTCCAGACCAAAGATATAGTTAATATTTTCAGTAAAATCAGAGGAAAATGTCCCAGTTCTAGAGAAGAGATACCCATTCAACATGAAGCATTCAGGATCATGATAAACTGTGTACAAAATACTAAAAATAAAGAATAAAGAGAGGATAGTGAAAGCTGCAAGAGAGAAGAGCCAAACCATAAACAAAATCAGATGTGGCAGAATAAAAGCTGATTGTTTTATGAATCTTTTAAGGCCAGAAGGAATTGGAAAGATGTATTCCAAGTCCTAAAGATCAAAACGGTCAACCCAGATTACTCTGTTCAACAAATCTATTAAAGGAGAAATAAAAACTTTCCATCATAAAAACGGATTAATTGAACATATATACACTGAGCTCTATAGACAATACAGGAAAGAATCTTGTACCAAAGAAAAGAATAAACATACAGAAGACAAAGGGAAAAATAAACACCAGGACTGTTAAAAGGAGTCTAAGAGAACACCACAAAACCAACAAACAACACTTAAAATACATTTTAAAATAATAAGTCTGAATGTTCATGGTTTCACCACCCTGGTAAAACACAGAGAGAATGGCAGATTGGATTAGTAAACAGAATCTTGCTTTTTGCTGTCTCTAAGAAACACACTTCTCCATCAAGAATAGATGCTACCTTAGAAGAACAGGATAGAAAAAGATACTCCAAGCAAATGGAAATAAGAAACAAGCAGACATAAGTATCCTAATATCTGGCAAGTAGACTTTGAACCAAAACTAGGCAAAGACATAGAGACAGTTGCTTCATACTCATGAAGGAGTAAATTCATCAAAAAAGATTTTACTATTCTAAACAAACCTGCACCAAACACAAGTATGCCCAGTTCCATAAAAAAAAAAAATACTGCTGGTTGTAAAATCACGAATGCAATATAGTAATAGTAAGAGACTCCAGAACCCAACTCGAACCAACAGACAGGTCATATGGAGGAAAAGAAACAAACGCTGAAGTTGCTGAAATCATAAATCAAGTGAACTTAGCCCACATCATACATTAAGTAATGAATAGGGTCACTGAAGAATTAAGAGGGAAATTCATAAGATCCTGGAATTGAATGAAGATGAAAACATGTGATGCAGTGCTGCTATCTGCTGTCCTGTACTTCAAGAGTCCATAATAACTCACATTTTTGTGGGGCTGGTGGCTTAGGAAGGGATAGGTGGATTATGGCTGAGAGCCTCTATCTCTCTGTTCTTAATTTAAAAAGACCTGAAGGGGTCTTTTCTCTCTTTCTAATATATTCTGGAAAATGCCTGCCACCAATAACATCTTTTCTAGAAATACTCTTGTTTTTCTTTCAATACGCTGCTATTTCTTTTTTTCAGTCTCTACTCAGAGTTAACCTGCCATGATGGAAAGCATTACTACTCTGTTCTGGGTCTGACTGGAGAAAAACAACCTCCATCTCAAGTCTAAGTGACAGCACGCTAGGAGCCATGAGTCCCGTGCATCATTAGACCTGAAATAAAAAGATCTCAGTTTTGGATACTTCCATACCTGCTTTTATCTAGACCACAAAAAACTCATGTAAACCATGTTGTACATTACCCACCATATTTATTCATGTATTTAATAAGTAATAATTTCACATAACCAAATTTCTTTTTGTATTAGCATATTTCTCAGTCCTACACATAAAATCAATGAGATGGAAAGTCTGATTTAAAATATAACAGAATGACTGAGTTTCAGAAAATGTGTGTAAATTTTAATATAGAACCTAAAAATATAGACCCCTTTCATGTCAAGTAGTATCTAACTATTCTGTACCATATTTCTTCTAGGACTATTTTTGTATAGTGGTTTTAGACTCATACAAATATCCCATCCAAATAAAAAATTTCAGGTCTTACGTATTATGCATAAAATGTGGAAGATTTTGAATATATTTATGTTATAAAATCTAATCTATCTAGATTAATGAAGATTCTACAATGTTGCATATGTATTAACATTCTGGACTAATTTAGAAAATTGACAAAACAATGACAATATTAATCAAATAAAGATAGAATGGGTACAATTAAAGAGTGCAATCGATAAACAAATTTCAAAAATATAAAATGAATAGTTCTTAAAGTCATAAAATAGTAGCCAGAGCAAATTTATGTCAATTGTAAATTTGAATTAATTTGGTAATTATAATTATTATATATTTTAAAAAATGGTAATTATTATAAAAACAGACACAAGAAGAAATAAAATACTTGACTTCACCCAAAGCCATTGATTTTATCAAAAATACATTATTTATGGATTTCTGTTTAACACAAGGAAGTCAAAAGAGTAAAAAAAGATCATAGAAAATGATAATGAAAAGGCAAGCTGCTAAATTAAAGACAGACATAAATAAAGACAAGGAATTCAAAATTAGAATATATATGTCTTGTTTTCTTACTGTGATTACTGAAAGGAAAAA